GGAACAAATTTTGTTAAATTCAATGTTTTAGAAACTGAAATTTCTTGCATTCAGTGGACTTTTGCTGAATTTCCAGAGTCCTGAGATAACCCCATCTTCCTTTCCACACATGTCTGCCCACAGCCATCCCCTGGGAGACTGGCCAGGGAGTCTGGGAAGCCCCAGCCTTCAGTAATGCTGATACTTAGCTTTGCTGTTGGTATTAGGACAGAGGCAGTTTAGCTGAGCTGTTCCAGCGTCTGAGCAGCTTCCTGCTGACTGAAGGACTGGGAAGAATAAAGAGATTTCATCTAATTTAAACTGAAACCCAATTCTGAAAAATACCAAGTCTCCTGTTAGCAGGAAACCCCCTTTTCTGAGTGTCCTCGGTTCTAACCTGAATGACTTGATCCTCTCATCTAAACTCAGGATGATTGTGCTTCTTGACTTCTGTATTTTCAGTACACAAAAGAGATATATAAAGACAGCTGATTATAATGATTGATGTTAATGGGAAGTGCAGAAGGGAATTACCTACATTTAAATTACTAATGTGTCTCCTAACACTGTTTCTCTCTTAAATCACTGGGAAAATCAGACTAGATTTTAACAGATGGTGTTATATACAGTTCCAGAAACAAATCATCTGACTACTGTAGTTGGAAGGGAATTCACTCTTTCAGAGACTAGACAGGTTTTTAAGTCAACAAAATATATGTGGCAATTTCATAGATTTATACAATGTGTAGGCCAGAAGCAAAGGTTAGGTCTTTCACTCTCACACCACATGTAACACAGGCAACACTTTTTCACCTGGTTTCTTCTGCCTTAAGCCTCTTCTTATACGTCAGCAGATTCTAACACATTATTAGGTAGCTCTTAAGGTCTACCTTATCTCTCACCAAACCTCCGGGTCTTCTTGTTTATTATGCACTGTGAATGTTTCAAATGTCATCAGCAAAGACAATGCAGTGTATTATTAGATAGCCCAAGTTTCAAGGAAAATAACTCGCTCATTTTTTCCCAGCATGGTAACGAGGCTATTAAACGAGTTTCTCTTCTACTCCTGAACTTCCGACTGGCTGTCAGCTGTTGTACTGTGCTTAGTTTGGTTTGAAAAAGTAATTGAGTTAAATTTTTGTAACTGTAGCTTGAAATTCTGTTCTGTTGGGCCAATTAAATGAGCAGTGAAGTGGTGTCTTTCGTACACTTCCCATTAACATTTAGCATATGTGAATTTGAGAACAAAATAGGTAACTTAGGATAAATATTTGTTGCTTTTAACTTCCTAGATGTTACTAATTCTCACTCAACTGGATTTTTGTGCCTTAAATTACAGGATTATCACAGGAAAATCCAGAGGAGAGTTTTCCCCCTAGTACCTTCCCTGCACCATGCAGAAGACCCCAGACAGGGTTTTATCCAGGTATACTTCTTAAGACCACTGTCTACTGTGGCCAGTGTTAATGGCTGTGGTCATAAAATGCCTCTTGGCTCCTTCAAGATGCTCAGCAAATCAGATAGCAGATCTTGGCTCTGCTTGGTGCTACAGCACCCATTCTTACAGCAAGAAGCTCCTGCAAAGTGAAGGTGGTAGCTGTTATGGGAGAGGACAGACCTTCCACAGCAGGGCAGGAGGAACTGGAGGAGGAGGCAGCAGCTTGGCCCCAGGCCAAAAGGGGGAACTCAGAAGCTGCAGTGCTTGCTAAGCTCAGGACAAGCTGGGAGGAAAAAGTGGGGCTGGTAGCACGAGGTACCAGTGTCCACTGTGCTTGTCAGTCACACTTGACTAGATTTTCAGCCAAAGCTGAAAAAGGTGTGAGGGGGATGATACAAAAGCTCTCATCTGGCACCTTTCCATCTTTCATGGACAAATCAGCCTTTTTCTATTGCTTGTCAAACTTCCCACCCCCAATGTGAAAGTTGTCAGCTTCCAAGGCAAGGACTGTTGAGCTGCGCTCCTCACCTTTGGCATCCTCCTAAACATGGTCAGGATTTCTTGGGGTTTCTTAAGAAAGTCACCATCAGGGGCACATAGCAGAATACATGAAGGCCAAAAACCGGCACAGAATGCTAGAGAAAAGATCCAGAATATATATTCTTGTTTAAAGGACAATAGGCTGAAAGAAGCAGACAAACATTTAAGGTGCAGAGAGGCATCCCTCAATCCATCTTCTAAAGTAGGGGAAAGATGACACAGAGAAATTTTTGAAATGTGTTCTCCTTTAGTGAAGCCCTTGCAGTCATCCAACAGAAAAGGCATTGCTATTTAAGCACATTATCCTTCAGTCTACTTTTGAATCTGAGTGCACAGCATAATTGAACCTCCACAGTGCAAACGGACAAGAAGATGCCAAGAATGGTTGTGTCTCTGTTTGAAAGAAGATATTAGCCTTCTCCTTAAGTCTCAGGCTATAGCTGCAGGAGCCACAGGCATCAGGTATCCTGGTGGAGCTTGCTAATATCAATGACGATAATATAATCAATAATGATAAATCAACCATGTGCTAAAAAATTACTTCCCATGTAATGTTTGAAATGAAAATGGTTTGGAAAGTGGCTATGGACACCTAAAATACTATTTTGCATGGAAGATCTGATGACCCCAAACTGGTTAGTAACCAGTCAGGCTTCACATGCCACCTCAAGGTGAGAGCCACTGCCTGAGTAATAACAGCACAGTCCTGACAACAGCTCATGGCTGAAGGCAGTAATGGTGTCCCTTCACAACTGAAATATTTCCATCCAATGCCATCCATGACAGATCCTGATGACAGTGTGCTTGTTCAAATTCCAATTTGTGTCCTGCAGCCAAGGAAGTCGCAGAAGCTGCAATGGGAAGGACACCCAGGCACGTGCAGTCTCAAAGTTCCTGCGCTGTGCTGAGCTCTTGCAGCGTAAAACAACAAAATATGAGCACGTTAGCACCAAGAAGCAGTAATCATCAGCTCTAGTAGCTGGCTGGCTAATCAGAGGTAACTCTTTATGTGGAAGAACTTACGAAGTATTTCATTTTGAATCATTCGTGACTCCCCAAAGGGTTGGTCTTGGGAATGTTTCACATGCTTTTTGCCTTGGGGTCTGGATTTATAAACATAGGCAAATAACTGAAAGCACATACGTGAGCCATTACTGAGGCACATTACAAATTTTTGATTTAACAACACCTTGATTTAGGAAACCCAGAGAGTTATTGTTGATTTTATACTGTGTAAATTATTCATGTACTTTCCTGGAACCATAAGTTGTCAACATAAAAATCCTAGAAAGCTGTCTTTCACTCTACTCTTGTAATTCTGTCTTATTTATAAAGCCATCCACTGATGTATACAGCATCTTATTTGGACGCTTAAGAACAGAGACTGCATAGTGGAAAAGGCTCTAATTAAGTATAGGCTTCTGAGAGGCAGAAGAGAGTAACAGAAGGATGAATATCAGTCTTTGTTTACTGGAAGCAAATAAAACCCTGGTGACAGTCTCCCTGCCACTGCTCTGCTACTCCTTGAAGCAAGAAGAATAGTTCTTAGCAAAGTACATTTTTGTTGAAAATGTAAAAGGCAAAATATTGAGTATAGTACATAAGTTGTCAGTGATTCACCTTCCTCTTTTATGTGATTTTTTTTTTTCCCATACAGCTCTCCTGGCCTTCCCCACCCCCCCAATATCCATTGGGCTTTGAACTCTCATTTTCCCAAGCTGTCGAATTCCTAACATTTCCTTGGCTACAGTTTATCTCAGAATTTTGGTGACATAATAATCAGCACAGTATTTCAAAACTTCAAAAAATACTTCACAATCTAAAACCACTTTTTTTCCCAGTAATTTTTTATGTCAGTATTTTCAACTTTATCATCATGTGATTGAAAATTAAGGACTCTTGCCCTCAGGATGCCTATTAGAGCTCCCAACAAAGCTACATGACTACATTTGCCATTGGCTCCTATGTACTTTGTTAATAGGACTGAGCCAAAGGATTGTGAAGCAGCACACTACCTCCACTAAAATTAATAATCACACTGGATACCAAAATCAAGAAAACAATTTAGATATTAGTTTTGTGTTATGTTGTAACTTCTGAATTGTCATTTCTATCTACTATTCACAGTACATTTTAATTCTTACTCCCCTATCACCATGTTCCAAAATCTTCTAGCATCTGTCATTCTCTTGCCCTCTGGATATAACCTACTTACCATGTTTCTCTTGCTCCAGCAACCCCTTTTCTCTTTGAGTACTATTTTTTGTATACTGAATCATATATGTATTATGTATTTAGTTATATCCTTACCAATTATTCTTCCATTGCATTCAACACTGGAATGTGATGTTTGTCTTTCTAGAAATTCTAGTATTCCAGTTACTTCAATAATAGTTATTACTCTTCTTGAAAATCATGTATATAAACTAAAATATTTTGCAGAGGTGTTCCCTTTTAGCAAGGAGCACTTGCATTTGGAGGGTCCTCCATCAAGACTCAACAAATGTAGGTTAATCTCACTGTCATAACCTTTACATACACAAAGCAGAGAAAGACAGAAATGAGGAACAATTTAAAGATGCAGCATCTTTTTATTACTTGAATGAGTCTAACTGCAAAGATCAGAGTCTGCATAAAAGGACAGAGTGTAACAAAGTGAATGTAATCTGCAAAGAAAAAGTCATGGCAGAAGAAAATATTGGAAAGCAGTCACAATAACTGTTACAGTTAATGAGAAATACTAATAACACTGATGTAACTGAAAGTGCTCCATTGCAGTTCAACAAGTGGAAGCATCTATGTAAAACAGCTGTAAAATAAATCCAAACATAAAATGTTTCACTAGGTGTTTGATCCTATTTGATTTCTGGAACATATGCTGAGAAATTATAGTATATATAGATGGAGAAAACACCATAAAAATTCGAATACCCTCAGAGTCTGCCTCAGCATATTTAGGAGAAAAGATGGCCAACACTAATTTTCTTGCAATGGATGTTTCATTAGGGTATTACACAAAGGAAAAAAAAATCTAGGTGTTTTACCTGTGCTTTTTTGATATATTCTTTGGAAATTTTTGCTTTACCTGGCCCTGAAATATTTCATAAAAAGATATAGTATATTTCCATGAATGCTGATGACGCTCCCATTCAGGGAAAACAAAAACAGACCATTCTCAGATATCTTGGGAAGGCTGGGTCATGACGGTTTAAAACCCAGTTGATAGAAATGGAAGTTTAATGCTGAACAAGAGATAATAGACAGATCTAGGAGAAATACTAATTCACTATTGATCATTAATTTATTTGTAGAATAAGAACTTGAAAAAAGTATTTTTTTTGGACATGCATGTCCAGTCTGTCTTCTGAAACACTCTTAAGAGCTTTGTTTTAGGAAAATTAAAAATGGATATAAGAGGCCACTCTGCACTGAGAGTTTGAAAATCTGAGGGGTAAGAGAAAGCAATGCCTATTCCCAGAGTCTCTGATGATATCAGGCAAAACGGCCAAAAGATATTTCTGAGCAAGGCCATAGGGCAAAACTCTTTGAAAAACAGGTCAATGACTATAAATGTGGTTTGTGCTTCCGGCATCTTAAAATGACCAGCAATATGTCCAAACCAGAAAGAGCCTAGCACAGGTATGAAGAGCTTACTGTTTCTGCCTATGAGATACACATTGGCACAGACTGCAACCATTACTATCAGTAAGAGGTCAGCAGGCACTTTTTCTAATTTCACTTGCAGTTGTATGAGTGCCAAACAGAATACAGACCCAGAAAAGATTTCAGCAACAGCTGGCATTCTGTCTGCAGTTTTTGCAAGAACTGGGAGAGAAAAAAGAAGACAGACAGATTCTGACATTTTAGAAGTAACTGTGGTGAGATTCTCAAATAGAAAATATTTTATATCATGAGGTCAAATGCTCAAAATTTTTGAGAAGTGTGCTAATACTGTGTAATGAATACTTCAAGGTGAAGCATACTTCGTATGGCTAGGTAAGTATGTTTGGAACTTTTCCTCAGTTCTTTGTCGTAGTTGTTACCTTCCTTTTACATGCAGGAGCTTTCCCAGTATACTTCTCAGGTTCAGAGGGACTTAGCCTGTTGAGAACGACACTTACATCTTTAACAATACCAAATTTCTTTCTTAGTTTTTTGTCTTTAGCCTGAGGTGCTTCTTCCTCATTTCTTTTTTCCAAGCTTTCTCTGGATGGAGACACAGTCTTGTTGAGGAACTGAAACAGGAAAGAGTAGAATTTGACTGTTGGGAAGTGAATGTTGGATAGTAATTTTTCTCCCACCCCATTTTTATCTTCACAGTGTTTCTTCTGCAGTCTTCCTTACCTTGGGGATGTGGCTTTGCCAGAAGGGACCTTGTAAGCCAGCCCTTCTCTGCTCTTCCACTGATACTTTAAAAAGTGATCATGATGGGACTCATCACCTGTTTTCAGAAACCCCACCTTCTCCCTTGTGAAATATCTTGCCATTATACTAAATTCTGCTCTAATGTTCTCTAAATAGCAACAGGCTGCTTCCATTAAGTGCACTGCTTTTGTCCTGTTCAAATACTAGAAAAATCTTTATATATCTCAAGATTTATTTTTTTCCTCAGCATTATTTAATTTTATTTTCTTTTTAAACAGTAAAGTCTTATAGACCTGAAAACCTTAATTTAGTTTACTCTACAGTGATTGTGTCCACTGTGATTTGTATTTGGCTTCCCCACAAAAATGTGAACAAAACCAGGTCACTCATCTTTCACACCAATATTCTGAATAATGCACTTTGCATTCAGCTATATCTAAGAGGAAAGTAATTTACTGTACATACACAGACAATCACTTGATCATCATAGGTTATTACCTGCTGCTTTTCTGCAGTAAAAGGGGAGCAGTTCCTGGGCTGAGAGATGGTAGTCATCTCGCATGAAGAGGGATGTGTTTCATTTGATGCTTTGTCTTGGCATGTGGGGGTAGAACAGGCTGTAACACATTTTATGTCCTGTTTCACAGCATCCTCTCTTGACAGCAGCGGATGTTGAACTTTAAAAGGTAGACTGCAGATAGAACCACATGTAATGAGCCAAACCATGGTCTTCATAGGCAACATATGATGGTGGCAAACCATTTCCCTTCCTGCTGCCAGATCTTCACTCCTCATTACATACAGAAGATAGACTTGCCTATTATAGATCATTAGAGCATTTCCCTTAAAGAGAGGTATGTCCATTTGCTCTCCAATAGGACTAACAGATGAAAGTGGTAACATATCCTTATAATCTTTATTCTTCATACTGATGAGTGACTTTAAAATTTCTGTAACAACCATGTTAGATGATTTTACAATAAGAGGATAGGATCTTGCTATCTTTCTGGCTGGCTCTTGTTTCTCTGGCGTTATCTGGGAACATCTCACATCTTCAGTTATACCAGGACTAGAACAGTGTCTTGGAAAGTTTTGGCTGCTTGGCATTAAAGACTTTGAAAAATTGTTCCAAAAGGAGCTGGAAGCCTCTTCTAACTTTATTAATGGCCATATATAAATTACAGAGTCTGTTTCTGTAGCTTGCCATATTTCAGAGACATTTTTTGCTGCAGCTACCAGTAGTTGCTGTAGTTTAGATGGAAAAGAAGATAGGGGTATTGATGAGATTTTGGCTTGATATGGTATCTCTAGATCAGGTTTTAAAATCCGTGCCCGAGGTTCTTTAGTAACTTCAAGAGGATCAGAGACTCCAGAAATGGATGTTTTGCCTTCTTGGTCAGCATGAGTTAGTGAGAAGCCTCTTCTCAGAGAGTGCTTTTCAGCTGAGGTTTCATTACTCTGAGCATTACAATCTGTTGAGAACTTTCCTCTGCCAGCAGAGGTCATGTTGAAATCTTGACTCTCCAACTGCTGATTCTCTAGCGTAAGAGCATATGTAGTACTGGTATTCATCTCCAAAAAAGTGCCGTGGCTTGACTTAATGTATTCTGTTTAGACAGATGAGCTTCTGTGACTGGGCAGCTGTATACAATGACAAGGCTTCCAGAGGAAAGGGAATGCAAAAGGAGTTTCAGTAGGTCTCATTTACTTTTATCTCTTTCCTGAAGAGCTTCACTTACGCACCCCGACATGCTTAAAATAAAAGTGGATATAAATTAAAATGTGATTACATATTTGTAAATGCATAGTGATTTTTTTTTGTTAACTCAAAATAAATTAATAAACAGAAATATATTTGTGATTTAAGTATCAACTAAAGCTCATCTAGCCAGTAGGATTCTTCTGTAATAGTAATTTGTTGTGAGATACTTCCAATCTTGACATAAATTGGCAGTGAGTTTGTTACACCCCAAGCTGGCTTGGCAAGTTTTTAAAGGGGCTTAGGCACTTCGATTTCCTTTGGTGGTGCACAGGAGAAAAGAACAAACTCCTCAGGAGGTTGAACAGTAAACTTTTACTGGAAAACTTTACAGAATAAGGTACTTGGTGAATTTTAAAGCAAACATCCAATCAAAGAAAGGCACTGACTTAGTCCGACTTTAAGATACCCAGATTTTGAGAACAGGATGTTAGGAGAAGAAAGAGAGAAAAAAGGAGAGAGGAAGATCAGCAGTCACTACCCTGGATCCAGCGAGGTCTCAGGAGCTGTCATGTCCAGGGCAGTGGGGCCTGTCAGCGTCACCCCCATGTCACGGCCTTTCATCTGCTCTGGTTTTCCAGGACCCTCTCCCCAGGTGGGACTTTTGTTGTGCCACTGGCTTGATAGCCACGTTCAGGCTGGACCAGGGGCTCCAGTGTGGAGCAGTGCACAGCCATATCCCAGCAGAACTTGCATTTTTACCCCCCCACCCCACACACACACTTCAGTTGTTTTGAGCCAGTAATTATTTCTCCGGTCTCCTACAGAGTTTCTCTTTGCTTCCATGGGAATTTACCCAATATTACAAGCTGTTGGTGGACAGGATCTATTTTTTTTAGTTGTAGTATTCCCTCATGTAAGAAGATACAATGCCATTAAAATCAACGCACATTTTTAATAAAAATGGTCTTACCGAAGAGCTTTACAGTCAGTTTTGTACTTTGCTTGCAGAATGATTTGACTTCAGCAATCAATCCTAGCTTACACTCCTCTCAGCTGCAGCAGAATCAGACCCAGTAGCTTTCTCATGGTATTTAATAAAGATGTAAAAAAAAAAGAAAAATCAAGTTCAGATGCTTATCTGGTACATATTAAAGCCTTCTAAGCACCAGTGTAACTGTAAAATGCTAAACAACCATAACTACACAGTTGAATTTACAGCAGAAGAAAACATGAAACTTAAATTTGTATCATGAGAGAAAGGCAATAACTCTGAGATGGATTAAAAACAAATTATCTTTGAATTAACTGCTGCTTCTCCAATGGTTATGTTCTCCTAGGAATAATCTAGTTATCTTTGCACTACAGACTTGATTTTGTAGAAAGAAAACATAAACACTCACATGACTCACATGACTTGCATGTCAATCACACAACTTGAAGGTGTTTTTTAGTATTCCTAAATATTAAAAACCACAGTGAGTTTCGCCTCCATAACTGAGAAGGTTTTACTACTTAAACATAAAGAAATATAATAAAGACTAGTTCAGGGAGTGTCTGTTTAGGATCATGAAAATTAACCTAAGTCCTTTTACCTAGTGAAAATGAATAAATTGAAAAGTAAAATTATATTTTCTCCTCATCTATCCTGTACATCCTGCATTTATGATGCACACACTTAGATGTAATCACATCATTCCAGGACTCTAATCAAGAATAATTGAAAATATCAATTGTCAACAAGTTATTTGAATCATTGCTTGTACGTACAGTTGGATTGAGGCCTTCTGTAGAAGCAGACTCTAAATCAAATTTTTTCCTTTATCTGATGAGTAGGGGGGTTTGGTTTTGTTTTACTTCTGGGTTTAGGGATTTTTACTACGTCCAGCATTGCCATATGATAAAGCTAGGTCTGGTCTTCTGCCTCAGAAAGTCTCTTACTGGCCTCTGCATTAGCCTTTGCACCCTTTTCATTAGTACTGGTCCATTAAATCTTAGTTATGCACAGCAACCAGTAGACTGAGCTTATCTATCAGCACTGGAAGAACCAAAGAGTCTCAATTCCAGCATTTTATTGACGGTAAATAGCATCAAGTCACACTGATTATAAATGCAGTACCTTACAGTGGACGTCTTAATATACAGCAGTGACCTCAGTTGTGTAATTTTGTCAGCCCTTGAGTTTATAAGATCGCAAATTGTGTCATGGATCTCAAGGTCCCCCAATACAAGTGAAAAAGCAATGACCATATTCACATACCTTAAAATGTCCTTATTTACACACAACAAAAGAAATTTATAGGAAATCCTCCTTCCTTCTTCCACCTTAAAACTCACTGAGTGCAAGGCAGAACCTCAGACTTGGGACATAAGCACACAGATTCTCCTATTACTTCTAGTTTATGTATACAAATCTTTTCCATCTGAAGTGGTCTTACAATCTAATTTTTATGACTATGACTCACCATTGTCCTATCTTCACCAGAGATGAAGACAGCAGAATCTTAAGAGAACTCACAAAAATACTAAAATTTCTATTTCAAATTTCCTTATTTTTTATAAAAATGCATATGAATATTGCAATCATCAATTTGTAGGAAAAGATTTGTTCTAATTAGGTTTTCACTTGTAAAACTTTGGCTTGGCATCTTTGTTTTTTCTTATCATACAGCAACAATCCCTAGCAGGGATTCCAAAGCTAGCCCTGAGAAAACTTGAATTTCCTGAAATACAGGCATGACTGCCGCAAGCGTGGCATATATTATTTTTGCTTGGACTTGATCCAAGGTATAGACAAAATGCCTTTCAGTTGTTACATCAAAATTCTTTTAAAACACATCACCTGTTCAGTTAGGTACGCTTATTTCAACACTGGTTCTTCATGGAAACTCACGTGGGTCTGTAAATTGTCTAGGACTTTGTGATGTATGTAACAAAATACAGGTATGGCACAGGCCGCTAGATCTGTTATATGGTTTAATGTACATATTTCCTTTCCTTTTGCGACAAGTGATCTGCACTTAGGCTGTGAAAATATGCCGTGATGTTCAGGGAGAGAGCAGTTCGAAGAGCTTCCTAAAATTCCTAAAAGAGTCCTTCTAGTCCAGTCCCTGCCTCTGACAGTGGCCAAAAGAAGAGGCCCAGCAATAATATGGGAAGAGTCCGTGTACATAGCAGTCATTTCCTGGATACCCCCAGTCTCCAAGAGTGGGAGGCGAAGGGCCCTCCTGAGCCAGCAATGATTTCTCAGTGGATTTCCTGCTGGCACCAGGCCCTGCTGTGTAACACCCACTCCTTCCCCAGCAGCTTCTACCCCGCAGCGGTGCCTGCCCGGTCACTTACAGCAGCAAAACCTCCTCAAGTCCCCAGTCTGGGGTCAAACCCTGGCCTTCCCAGTAAAGCTGGTGTGGGCTGGGGGAATGGCAAAAAGAGGTGGGGCTTAGTTACCATTACAGCCAGAGCGCGGGTGCCAGGCTGGGAGAGCGACCTTCGACTGCTGCAGCAACTGCTGTGGCAACTGCCAAAACTGCAGAGAGCCTTCCAGAACCTTCTGGCCTTCCAGAACCTTCTGGCCACTGGAATCTTCCAACGGCCGGCGGGCACCGGCAGTTTCAACAGCTCCTGCGAGTGACACTGGGCACTCTTGGCCCCATCGGCCACTGCCCGCAGGCCCTGGGGCTGTGCCCGCATGGCTGCACCTGCCCTGCCAGCCCAGCGAGCTGTGCCCCTGTGCCCACTGCCTCTGATGGACAGCGTCCTTCACATCATCTCTACCATGGCACCAACCCTTGCATCCCCACACCTTTCGGCTGCTTTGGCCTCTGCAGGGCTGCAGCTGACGAGTCCCCACAGTGGGAAAGGGTCCAAGAGGCCCTCCCCAAGCCCACTGCACTGCACAGCTTGGCTGCAATTCCTCCATGGCCAGGGCATCTCGCCCTTCCTTCAGATGTCCTCATTCTCCAGCCAGACCGTCACTGGGTCCAGAGGGGAGAAATTACCAGGCCCAAACCTCCCTCCTGGCCTTTCCTCAGTGCTCTTTCCCCACCATTGCCAGGCAGAGCTCAGGAGTCAAAGGAAAAACAAAACCACCCCACTGCGGCACAGGTGAGCGCTCAGCCTTCCATCCTGGGCACACCTGGGCTGCCCCAGCCTATCCCAGACCCTTCGTGCTGAGGAAGTGATCAAGGCCACAGGTGCTGCTCGCCTGAGTCCCAGCCATTTCTCCTCAGCTGATAAGCCCTGGGCCAGGAGTCATTCCCATGGAGGGGCTATAGTGCAGATGGCAAGGCACAGGGGCCGCCAGGAAGGCCTCTCCCCCAGGCATGGCTGCTGGGCAACTCCACAACACACCAAGGATGTGAGGGTGTAGGAGCATGGCAGAGCACTGGTACAGGCTGCCCAGAGGGGTTGTGGAATCTTCCTCTCTGGATACATTCATACCCCACCTCGATGTGTTCCCCTGTAACCTGCTCTAGATGACCCTGCCTTGGCAGGGGGGTTGGGCTAGATGATCTCCACAGGTCCCTTCCAACCCTAACTATTCTGTGATCAGGGTCTGTGCTCTCTGCTGCTCTGCCACACTGGGAACAGTGCCAGAAAACTTCAAAAAATTTGAATAAGCAGCCAGTTTCATCTGAAATACTTTATCAGGTATTCACAGAAGCGCAGAATCAATTATGTTAATAGGGTCCTCTTGTGATCATCTTGTCCCACTCTGCTACAGCACAAGAATTTATGCAATGAGTGGTGGCCTGGCAGCAGGATGAGCTTTGAAACAGCCTGCAGTTTCAGAAGGGCTGGAAATGAGCA